CTCTTGAACATTTTAAAGAGGTCTTGTGTAGCAGATATGCCCAATGAAATACATTGTTTGATTTCTTGACTGCTGCCTCCTTGAGTGTTGACTGTAGACCCAAGTGAAATGAAGCCCTTGACAACGTCAATCTTCTCTCCACTTACAAAAATGACATCCATTCATCCAGTTGTGAAAATACTTGTTTTCTTTACAGTGAGGTGCAATCCATATTGAAGGCTGTGATCTTTGATCTTCATCAGTAAATATTGTAAATCCTCTTCACTGAGCATTATCTGCATATCACAGTTTGTTAATGAGTCTTCCTCCAATTCTGATGCCACAGTCTTCTTCATATAAACCACCTTCTTGGATTATTTGCTCAGTATACAGATTGAATAAATAAGGTGAAAGAATACAGCTCTGGCACACACTTTCCTGATTTTTTACCATTTAGTTGTTCTGTTTGAACAAATGCTTCTTGGTCTATGATCAGAATTGCTCAGGTTCCTAATGAGCACAATCAAATGTTCTGGGATACTCATTCTTTGCAATGTTATCTATAACTTTTCATGATCCACACAATTGAAAGTCTTTATATAGTCAATAAAGCACTGGTAAAATCTTTTCAGTATTCTCTGTTTTCAGCCAAGATCCATCTGACATCAGCAATGATAGCTCTAGTTCCACATCATCTTCTGAATGTGGCTTGAATTTCTGGCAGCTCCCTGTTGACGTACTGTTGCAGCCATTTTTGAACTCCCATTAGTAAAAATTTACTTGCATGCGATATTAATGGTATTTTTGATGATTTATACATTTTGTCGAGTCATCTTTCTTTCGAAGAGGCAAAAATATGGATCTCTTCCAATCGGTTGGCCAGATAGCTGTCTTCCAAATGTCTTGGTATAGATGGTGAGTGCCTCCAGTGCTATTTCAGTTTGTATTTAAGATTTCAATTTGTGTTCTGTCAATTCCTGGAGCCTTGTTGTTATTTTTTTCCCCCCAAACCTTCAGCACAGTGTGGACTTCTTCAATACCATCAGTTCTTGATCATATGCTAGCTCTTGAAATGGTTGAACACTGACTATTTCTTTTTGGTACAGTGACTCTGTGTATGCCTTCCACCTTCTTTCAATGCTTTCTGCATCATTCAATATTTTCCCCATGTTGTTGTTGTTAAGTGCCTTCGAGTCATTTATGACTCATAGTGACCTTTCAGAGGATTTCTGAGGAGTGGCTGGTGAATCTGAGCCACTGACCTTGCAGCTCAAACTGACCTTGTGGTTCAGTGTATGATCCCACAGCGCTACATCAGGACTCCTTTAGCCCATGTAGTCCATTGAGATTGCAAGCAACAGATTAGGATGAAAACATGCAGAATAACTTTTCCCAGGGCAGATTGTTTGAAGGGATGATCTGATAAAGCATGTCATGTGTCTGTCTCATCTCTTGACTTTCCCTAGGCTCATCTCCATTAGGCATCATAGATATCTTACAAGGCACCAGAAAACACAGCATAGGTTCTGCTCTGTGTACGTAGGAACTTTGGTTGCTTTCATCACAAAAGTTCACTTTTACTTGGAAGTTTGGAACTGGCATTTGCAACAATGTGATGAACAAAATGGGTTCTATGTGATATGGGTTCTGTGGCACCATGGAGATGAGCTGGCATCACTGTTTGGTCAACTTCAAATTCTTTCCATCCAGGGGTTTTGCTTCCGTAGAACCATTAGGGAGAGCCTCTCCACACCTGGCCAGTTGTTAGAGATGCTCAGCTGGACCTCCCGAGGGTCATCAGGATAAACACTCAAGGCAATAACTGCTTTTCTCCTATGGAAATAGATCTTTGTTATTTTCTCCCCAGCAGACCAGTCTATAAAGGATCACTGTTGATGCAAAAGTTAAATGCTTGGTTGCCAACCAAAAGGTTAGCAGCTGGAACTCTTTCAGCGACTCTGTGGGTAAAAGACCAGGAAATCTTCCCCCATACATACTACAGCCTAGAAAACCCTATGGGGCAGCTCTATTTTGTCACATGGGGTCTTAATGAGTCGGAATTGCTCCTTGGAAACCCTATACAGAGTCTCTATGAGTCAGAACTGACTTGATGGCACTTAATAACAGCAACAAAAATAGCAAAAGACCAGTACAACACTCAGGTGTCTACAGAAGGACATTGTCCAGCAACACTTATATGAGGGAGCTTCAAAAATGTTTGTGGAAAATTCCACTTAGAATTTTATCTCAAGGAAGCGGTTCACTTGATTGTAAAGGATAACAAGTTCTAAGGCCATGGATTAGATGCCAGACTGGAGGCTACTCCTGACTCATGTAGATCCAGGGGCTGACAACCCTAAGATTGGCAGATCAGAGAACAGGTCACTGTCCAGTGGACAGTTGGTGAGAGCTGGATGCAGGCTCCAGAATAAAAAAAAAAAGTCAGCTAGCTTGGCCAGGATATCCAGATATAGTCAATGTAGGCCATAGTGTGAGTAACTTTCCCTTTAGCTGATCAACTGCTCATAAATGTCATCATGGAAGTGATCAAATTGTATTAGATTCCATCATGGAGGATGAGCACATCATTACTACCAAACCAGAGAATAATGGTCCAGTCAAGTTGACATATAACCTTAACCATCACAGTCAACCTATCAAATATAAAGACTATATTCATCTTAAGGTGGGGAAAAGCATCCTGGTATGGCTTTGTGGGATAAAGCACTGGACCACAAAGTCTGTTCGAACCACATGGTTGACGGTTCAAACTCACCAGCCACTCCTTGGAAACTCTATACAGGATCTGTGAGTCAGAACTGACTCGATGGCACTTTACAACAACAATAACAACATTATTGCTCAGTTCCAGCATTTTTATTTCCTTTGAGATCTATAGTTCTGCTCTCAGGGACTTAACTAGTGGCTTTGAGAGTGGAATTTCGTAGGGAAAAAGGTCTGCCTTGTGGAAGGTCTATTTCTTCCTGGACAGTTTTGCAACTCCTCAGGCACCTGGATTTGGGAGCTATTCCCACTGCAGAAGACTGTGTCCCTCCCCTGAGGAAGGGAGGTGATAGGTCATGGATTTGTATTTTTCAGACTGCTCTACCCTGCGAGGTCCCAATGCAGTGAGGGGTCTGAATGGAGGCTCTTTGACTGTGCAGTGCCAGTATGGCCCAGGGTATCAGACCTACATCAAGTGGTGGTGTCGAGGAGCTGAATGGGTTTCTTGCAATAAGTTTGTGAAAACCACTGGATCAGAGCAAGAGGTGACGAAGAGCCGTGTGTCCATCAGGGACAATCATAAAAACCGCATATTCACTGTGACCATGGAGAACCTCAGGGAAGACGATGAGGACATCTACTGGTGTGGGATTGAGAGAACTGGAGTTGACCTCGGATTGAAGGTTAAAGTGTCAGTTGACCCAGGTAAGAGTGTGTGCATGTGTGGATGTGGTTTTAGTCCCTGCTCTGTCTTGGTCCCTGAGGACTCTTTTAAATTACTGAACTGTGTGCAAGCCAGAGGGTAGTCAAGACCTGGAGTGTCGTTAAACCCCACTGATGACTGCTTAGGGTTGGGAAGGCCTCCCAGGGGGCCTCCTGGGTAGCATGAAGCTTTTCTCAGCATGTTTTCTTCTCTGTGTAGCTCAGTCTCTTATCTACCGAGGTCAGAGCCACACAGGTGATGATGAGTAAGAGACCTAGGGTAGAGCCTGACCTGATCTTTGACCTCAGTCTTCACTACAGACTCCAGTTCTGAGAGCTCTGGAAGGACCATGCCCAGCATGACCAGGCAGGAGACCGCTGCTCCCAGACAACACCTGAAGTAAGAGTCTGTCATTGAGGAATTTGCCATCTGGGTACCACCTGGATGGCTCCTCCTTTTGATATTGAGTAGGATTCCTTTCCTCAGGGTCCTGCACTTATTTTCCAATTCCGCATCTAACTGTTTACATCTTTCTGGGTACAGGGGCTTTCTATGCATTGGGGCTTAGTGGCAAAGATAGAGGTTCCACCTGGATCCCTTGGTCTCCTTTACATCATCTCCATGGCTGAACTTTCCTCATTACCCCAGTCCTAAGTTAAGGGTTGGGGACAGCAGTCCTTTTGAGTGGGATTGTCTTGTCATTGGACCCTCCCAGGATTGATCCTGATATGGCTTATTGGGGGCACAAGACATGGGCCCAAGGACAGTGGGAAGAGGATGCTTAGGGCCTCCTCAAGAGGAGGCAGCTCACTATCGGTCACTGTATCCCCCACAGGTTCAGCAGCATTCACTTCCTGCTCCTGGTCTTACTGAAGGTGCCCCTGTTCCTGAGCATGCTCGGTGCTGTCCTCTGGGTGAACAGATCCCAGAGAGTCCCTGTTTGGGGAGGTTGGGTCATTCCACATATGAGAACCAGTAGCTCTGGTGTCCAGGATGCCTTGTCCACAAAGACCAACTCTCAGGTGGAATCAGGATAATCTCAGCAATAAATCAATCCTATGTCCCCATGTATGTTTCTATTTAAACACTCTGTTAACTTATTGAAACATTTTCTTGTGCATGATATTCACATACCAAAAGTTAATAAAATATACATCCTTTCTAAATGAAGTGCACTTGGGCAAAGAGTACAGAACTTCAACTGAAAAGACAACATTAATAATTTGGAAGTCTCAGAGAGTCTCCCAGATGTCCCTAATCCCTCCATGACAGTATGTTGTGTTGGATTCATACACTCTTTTCACAGGTGAGGAAGTCCAAGTCAAAAAATAACAGAGAGGCTCAGAGACCCAGTAGGACCACTGGGAGACAGAGCTGAGTCTAAACTCCATTGAGTCCCCACTTCCATAAGCTACTTGCGGGCCAAAGTGTCTGCTAGGTCTCTAGAAATTGGGGTCATTTCAGGCTCAGTGTCCAGGATTCCCTAAAAGAACACATCATTCCCTTCCACACGGAGAATCAACCTGGTTAGTGGCTCCATGGTCCTTTAGGGATGGTTGAGAGGATGAATAAACATAAATTTTTGGTAGACCAGCAGAATTTGTCCTTTCCTCTTCTTCAGGGAGCCTTATTTTCATTCAGACGCTCTGGCCTAGTGACCTGGTTCAAGTGTAAAGATTGTCTGAGCAGTCATGACTTCCTGTTTGGTACCATAAGTCCATCAGTCTCCTGTTCACTAAACCCTGGGCTCTTTGGCTCACACAGTTCACACTGGACTGCAGACCACTTGATTTCAGTGCCACAGGCACTTGGTGGGCTTGTCAACCCCAGAGATCTCTGTGTGTCATTCTGTTCTGATCGCTCCTCAGGTCTAGTCCCACCCCTGGGTTTCTCACACTCCCATTCAGTCAGCAAATATTTATCAAAAGCTCACCAGGTACCAAGCCCTGATCTAGGCATTGGAGTCCAACGTGAATAAACAAGGATCTCTGCTCCCATTGACCTTACCTTCTGAGGGCCAAGAGTAGTAATGAACAAACAGGAAACTCTAGACACACAGAGAGAAACAGAGGACAAGATTTTATGGGGTGAAATCAATTGAGATGGGGACAGAGTGACAGGGCGGGTGTCTGCTGTCAGGTCCCTCTGATGGGGTGGCATGTAAGCAGGAATCTGAGGAAAGTCATGGGATGAGCCCCATGTATACCTTTAGGGACAGGCAAGTCCAGGCGCCCCTCAGGGGGCTTCCCAGACATCCATCCGGGCATATCAGGGACTACAGCTCTAGGAATCCCTTCCTGCATCCTTCATAGGAATTATCACCCAGGATTGGGGACTCCTGTTCTCTGAAGGCAGATGAGGTCTGGGAGCATCATTCATGCATCTAATGCTCCACTCAACAAGCCATGCACAGACTGGTGATCAGCAGGCCCTGTGAGGGCCCTGGGCTTGACTGTGAATAAGATAAGACACTTTCCTTGTGTTCAGGGACCCCAGGACAGAGGGAGCAGACAAAAATAGTCACAGGTCTCCAAGAGAAGAATGTCATAGGACCATGAGGATGTATAAAATAGGATTAACATGACCTGGCAAAGTCATGGATGAAGGTGTGAGCAGGCAGAGGAGAAGACCAGGATCGGGGCCAAGTCCAAGTGGGTGGACAGCAGTGCTTACTAAGTCTGGACCCTTTGAGCTGCCCTTGGATGGAGGATGGTGATGTGGATTCATCCTATGCACAGGAGTGAGGGGTTCTGGGAGGTTTAGACAGAGATGTTGCAGGGGCAGGGTGGTGTCTGAGGAGGACCATGCTGTGGACTTTGGGGAGACTGAGGGGGAATGACAAGAACAGAAGAAGACCAGGACAGTGTTCCCATGGCAGGACGAAGCCTTAGACATGTTAGGCTCAGCCCCAGACCTGAGTGCTGGGAGGAACTGGCTTTCATGGGGGTGGGGACTTGGTCTGTGATATGAATCTGGAGACTCACCACCGAATACCCTCATCCAGAGCTGTGTGTAGTAAAGGGAGAGGAAGGAGAATGCATTCAGCCCCGGTAACCATGGGCGGTCCAGCCAGGCTCCTTTCTCCCTTGTGCCTATGCCTAAGATTTTGGTGATGCTAAGCAGGGTCAGGACGGAGGAGATGGACAGATCTGGGGATGGAGTACAGAGAGGGGAACAAGGATCTGGGTTGTGCATGACAAATCTGAATGACTATAACTCACAAGGGGAGAGAGCAAGAAGGTTCTGTCTGTTGTCCTGCATTCATCTTCTTCCTAGGAGAACCTGACTTTAAGTTCCATCCTGTCATGAGGATGAGCCACTCAGGCTTAGGACACACCTGCCCCTCCTTCCTGAGAAGGTTCATCCCCACAGCTGCTCCCTGTGAAGTCCCTGTTTATCCCTGTGGACCCAGAAGACACCCCACAGTCTGTAGTGCATCATGGACACCCTTTGATCTTTGGAAGCTCCTTCACTGTGGCCCCTGGATATGGAGTGGCTCAGTTTCTCTTCCCACTTCCCCTCTTAGCAGCTTCCTGTCCCTGAACTCCATCTGTTCCACTCACAGTTTTTTGTCCTGTTCCTCACTGAGGAGCAGAGTGTGAGAAAGACAAGCGTTAACAATGAGGCTCTCACTGGTTCTTGGGTCTGGGAGTAGGGAACACAAGAGGAGGGAAGCTGCAGTCTGAGGATGTGCACCCTCATTGGAGACTCAGTACAGATAAGACACAGTTGAAGGTGCCTGGGGGACTAGTGCCACCTGTGTGGTCAGAATTAGAAGTGGGGGTCTTGGGACAGAGAGTCTTGCATGCATGGAGTTGAGTGTCGGAGGGATGCAGCCCCTTTGTCCTCACCACCAAGATGAGAGAAAGATGTCAGTCTTCACTTCATCCTGAGGATTGTCAACCTGACCACAGGAATTGACATTTTCACAGAGAAAAGAGGTTTCAGTTCATCTAGGTGGAAACACCCAACTGGGCTTTTCTATATGGATGGGTGAGAGCCATGGAGGCCAGCAGACCCGAAAGCAGTAGGGAAGGGTTATGTCACCAATGAGGGAGCCTGGGCCGGCTGTGAGTGTTAGTGGAGATGAGAGCAGTAAAAGTCTCCTGAATCCAGGGTGGCCATCCCAGCCACCGTCCCTTTTCCCCTGAGTCCTCTCCATCCTGACTGCTTTGGACACAGCTCTGTGTCAACTCTGGAAAGTCACAGAGAAAATCAGAAGTGGGGACCAGGAGCCACCGTGTGAAGGTTTGAGGCAGTGCCAGCTGGTCTTGTGCTGTTGCAGGGCACATCTGGGCTGGAGACGTGACCCCATGAAGCAGGGCCATGTGGCTGTCCTAGGTGAGCAGACTTGAGGACCATGAACTGAGTCATGAGTCATGAGAGCAGGGGTGAGGGAAAGGAAGGAAATGGGCAGGAGAAGGTGCGGGAGAGGGATAAGAGGTCAGGGTGAGGTGTGAAGGGAGAGGGTGGGATGAGGGGAGAGACTCAAGGAGAAAGAATGAGGTGATGAAGTGAGGAGAGGGGGTCACAAGTTTGTCCAAGGGGGGTAGTAGAGTGTGGGAGAGAGGAGGGGCTTCTGAGAGCATTCAGAAGTGATCAGCACCTGTCCACATGATCAGAGGACCTGGACCATATTCAGGTGAGACTTGTCTCATTGCACTTGGCACAGAGAAGCCTAGATGAGAGCTGGTGGCTATGATGTCATTACCTTAATTATTGTATCAGAAGTGATGCTGTGGTACATCTTTCTCTCTCTCACACACACCATGGTGCTTTCCTGTCCTGGCCTTTCTTGTCTCATGGACATTCTCTGTCCCCATTTCCACCTCTGTGAGAAGGAGGGAGTTAGTTACACCTGAGTCTGAGACAGGCCCATGTCCCTGACAGCTGTCCCTTCCAGATGTTGTGGGGCCCAGAAAACGAATGCCTGGGACACTACTAACCCAGGCCCACCCAAGTGAGGAGCTGGGACTTGACCTGCTTTCCAGGCTATATGAGTGGTCCCAGGACAGTGGGGGAAATCTCTGAGTGTGTAGTTAGTATGAGGAGAAACTCAAGGAATATAACAAATGCTGGTGCATATATCCATATTTGTCATCTTGATAGAGGTTTGTGGAGACCAGTGGGCCAAACAGAGAGGAGAGGAAGAGTCAAATGTACATCAGGGACCATCCTGCCCAGTTCAGTTTCACAGTGACTGTGAGGAAACTCACATTGGGTGGTGCAGGCAGAAAATTTTGTGAAACCGAGAAGCCATGACCAGTAAGTATTTCAATGTAATCATCTAGGTGGCGGCATCTGCAGAGGTGTTTCTATGGAAAATAATGTGACCTTGTTCAAACATCTGACATTCATCTTTTAGATAACATTGTTGTCGGGTGCCATTGAGTAGGTTCCTACTGACAGCGACCCCAACAGATGGAACCCTGCCAGGTCCTGCAACATCCTCATAAGTGTTACATTTGAGCCCATTGCTGCTGGGACTGTGGTAATCCATCTCCTTGAAGGTCTTCCTCTATTTCACGGACTCTCTAGTTTACCAAGCATCATGTCCTTCGATAGGGACTGGTATGTCTTCCTGATAACATGTCTGAGTATGAGAGACAACATCTAGCCTTCCTGGCTTCTAAGGAGTCTTTTGACTACCTCTCCCAACACAGATTTTTGTTGTTGTTGTTCTGGAAATGCATGGAACTTTCAATATTCTTATCCAACACCATAAGTTAAATGCATCATTTCTTCTATGGTCTTTCTTATTCATTGTCCAACCTTCACATGCATAAGAGGCATTGCTTCTATCCACAAGGCCATATTTTCCAAGTTGTGATCCTTCCTCTTTGTTTCTTGCCTTTGCATTCCAATCACCAATAATTATCAATACATCTTGATTACATGTTTGATCAATTTCAGTCTGAATAAGTTGGTAGAATTCATTATCACTGGTTTTAGCGGTTAATGCATAAGTTGAAAAAATAGTGGTATTATCTGGTTTCCCTTGTAGGTGTATGGATATGATTCTATCACACACAGTGTT